ATATATATATATTCTGGTGACCTGAAAGATACATTAAAGTTTTATTACTGTACATCTTATTTTCTGCAGTCTCTCTCTCTCTCTCTCTCTCTCTCTCTCTCTCTCTCTCTCTCTCTCTCTCTCTCTCTCTCTCTCTCTCTCTCTCTCTCTCTCTCTCTCTCTCTCTCTCTCTCTCTCTCTCAAGCAAACACATTCATAGTTTTAAAGAATTATATGATAAAACTTAGTAACTCAATAGGAAAAAAAAAAACAACAACTGTGAGACGGGGAGCTATGAGCATGAGCTTGTGTTCCGTGAGTACAGTTAGGTAAATACAATTAAGATATTTACACATAAAACTTAATACATACATACATACACAAATACATTCATACTTACATACATACATACATACATATTTTGAGCACAAATCAATACATGGTATTTTTACACATTCACAAACTCAGAAACACACAGCCATTAATTGTTTATGTAAACACATGTAATTTAACTTAACGTGTTGTGAAACACGTTCAAATAATACATATTTGGAAATAGTAGATTAATGCGTATGTGTTTGTGTACGTATATGCGTTTTTAATTTATCTATATTTTAGACAGGATGTTTTTGCCGAGACTGATAAATACGAATAACATGTTTTGTTTAAGTTATTAAGCAAATATAATTTACTGAAAATTATTATTATTATTATTATTATTATTATTATTATTATTATTATTATTATTATTATCATTATTATTATTATTATTATTATTGTTATTATTATTGTTATTATTATTATTGTTATTATTATTATTATTATTATTATTATTATTATTATTATTATTATTATTATTATTATAATTATTATAATTATTATTATTATTATTAATATTATTATTATTATTGTTATTATTATTATTGTTATTATTATTATTATTATTATTATAATTGTTGTTGTTGTTGTTGTTGTTGTAGTTGTGATTATTATTGTTACTAATATTATTATTATTATTGTTATTATTATTTTTATTATTATTTTTTCTAAAGTAGAAAAAAGCAGCAGCAGCAGCAGTAGTATTAGTAGCAGTATAATTTTTATTTTCATTATTGCTGCTTACTAGTTTCCCTTGACAGCAGTCAGAATATGGCTAGAAACTGATCCACTTGAGGCCAGTTAAATTCAATACACCCACAGGTGCTGCAACTATGATTCATACCACTATATTTGAAAGACTCAAAGTTATTATTTTTATATATATTTTTTTTTTTTATGATAGCGGATACATAACTTGAAATATATATTTTGATGTATATGTTTGACATCCTTATAAAGCATATAACTAATCAGCTCCGTTGTGGTTTGATAATAATAATAATAATAATAATAATAATAATAATCATAATAATAATAATAATAATAATAGCTATCAGATTAATTATTATATATATATATATATATATATATATATATATATATATATATATATATATATATATATATATATATATATATATATATATATATATATATATATATGCGCATATTATGGCTAACATCGCTATTAGTGTATAATATTTATGACTTGTTGCTTTATTTACTCCTTGTGTGTATGAGTAATTATACGTACAAGCGTGTGTATATACCTAATTGTGTGTGATTACCTAATTGTGATTACCTAATTGTGTTTACGGGAAAGAGCCCAAAGCTCGTATCTTCCCGTCTCCTGATCGGTTCCATTTTTAGACTTAGTGATACTTATCATACCTGTCCTTAAAACTGTGGATTGAGATAGCATTAACTACCTCCTCGCTTAGCCAATTCCAATTATCAACTACTCTTACACTGAAAAAGTATTTCCTTACATCCTGCAAACAAGTTTTCTTACGAAGCTTCAAACTATGACCTCTAGTTCTAGAGCCAGCCATATCGAAATATCGATCCCTATCCACTCTATCATAACCATGAAGGAATTTAAAGACTGTCACCATATCCCCCCTTACTCTTCTAGCTTCGAGTGATGGCAAGTCTAATTCCCTCAGCCTCTCATCATAACCGAGATTGCGTATTTCTGGCACCAGTTTCGTGGCATGTCTTTGAACTTTTTCAAGCTTAGCTATGTGCTTTTTCAAGTGCGGATTCCAAAAGGGGGCTGCATATTCGAGTTTTGGCCTCACATAGGTTACATAAATATTTCTGAACATTTCCTTGTCCATGTGCCTGAAGGCTACCCTTACATTTGATAAGAATGCATATGCTGCCCTTACTATGCCATTTATATGTATTTCTGGAGACAAATCTGCCAGTATGTTTACTCCTAGATCTCTCTCATTTTCTGTCTCTTGAAGTTGTACTCCAGCCACCGAGTAGTCAAGCTTGGGCCTTCTTGCACTTGTACCCATTCTCATTACCTTACATTTTGAGGTATTGAATTTCATTAGCCACTTTTCTGACCACTCATGCAGATTATTTAGATCCTCCTGAAGTTCTCTACCATTGTTCTCGTTTTTTACTTTCTTCACAATCTTTGCATCATCTGCAAACATATTCATGAATGAATTTACAGACTCTGGTAGGTCATTTACATATACAAGGAACAAAAGTGGCCCTAAAACTGAACCCTGTGGAACTCCACTACTAACTCTTCTCCATTCAGACACTGAGTGTCTTACTCTAACCCTCTGTTCCCTTCCTTCTAAGTAAGTTTTTATCCATTCCAAAACATTTCCACCTATTCTAGCCATTGCTTGCAGCTTCCTAATAAGTCTCCCATGTGGAACAGTGTCAAACGCTTTCTGGAAGTCTAGGAATATGCAATCTGCCCAGCCCTCTCTTTCCTGTAAGATTTGGCTTACCTCATCATAAAATTCTAATAAGTTTGTTACTGTTGATCTTCCTTCTCTGAAGCCATGTTGCCTCACTGACAAAAAGTTGAAGGATTCCAAGTGAAGAGAGATATGTTTCCTTAGTAGTTTCTCCATAAGTTTGCAAACTATGCTGGTCAAGGAAACTGGTCTATAGTTCAGAGCCGTATCCCTCCTTCCCTTTTTGAAGATAGGTGTGTGTGTGTGTGTGTGTGTGTGTGTGTGTGTGTGTGTGTGTGTGTGTGTGTGTGTGTGATATTACCTAATTGTGTTTACGGGAAAGAGCACAAAGCTCGTATCTTCCCGTCTCCTCATCGGTTCCATTTTATACTTAGTGATACTTATCATACCTGTCCTTAAAACTATGGATTGAGATAGCATTAACTACCTCCTCGCTTAGCCAATTCCAATTATCAACTACTCTTACACTGAAAAAGTATTTCCTTACATCCTGCAAACAAGTTTTCTTACGAAGCTTCAAACTATGACCTCTAGTTCTAGAGCCAGCCATATCAAAATATCCATCCCTATCCACTCTATCATAACCATGAAGGAATTTAAAGACTGTCACCATATCCCCCCTCACTCTTCTAGCTTCGAGTGATGGTAAGTCTAATTCCCTCAGCCTCTCATCATAACTGAGATTGCGTATTTCTGGCACCAGTTTCGTGGCATGTCTTTGAACTTTTTCAAGCTTAGCTATGTGCTTTTTCAAGTGCGGATTCCAAAAGGGGGCTGCATATTCGAGTTTTGGCCTCACATAGGTTACATAAATATTTCTGAACATTTCCTTGTCCATGTGCCTGAAGGCTACCCTTACATTTGATAAGAATGCATATGCTGCCCTTACTATGCCATTTATATGTATTTCTGGAGACAAATCTGCCAGTATGTTTACTCCTAGATCTCTCTCATTTTCTGTCTCTTGAAGTTGTACTCCAAGAGTGTGTGTGTGTGTGTACCAAATGCCTGCTGACTTGATCGCCTTGAACTTGGCAGTTGTGTACCAAGGACAGAAGGATAGAGAGAGAGAGAGAGAGAGAGAGAGAGAGAGAGAGAGAGAGAGAGAGAGAGAGAGAGAGAGAGAGTAAACACCTTTAGGTAAAGAGAAATATTACTTACATTATTGCATACTCACGGACGTAAAGGCAACGGTAGTATACTATATTCACCACTGTAAGAAACAAAGCAACACACATACCTATATCTATCTATCTATCTATCTATCTCTGTTTCTATCTGTCTGTCCGGCTATCTATCTATCTATCTATCCATCTGTCTATCTATCTCTCTATCTCCATATATCTATCTATAGGTCTGTCTATATATATATATATATATATATATATATATATATATATATATATATATATATATATATATATATATACACAGGCATTTTATTATTATTATTATTATTATTATTATTATTATTATTATTATTATTATTATTATTATTATTATTATTATTATTAGCAAATAAATTACTATAATTTCATGTTTCCTTTCAATATAATTCTCGCTTTGCCCTAATCATAACTATCTGAAATGGTTAAAATAAGAGCCTTTTTGCTACATGTTAGCATGATGTTTATAATATAATATGTTATGGAATACACAGGGAAATATGGTTGATTCGGTCTCTTCTTCTTCTTCTTCTTCTTCTTCTTCTTCTTCTTCTTCTTCTTCTTCTTCTTCTTCTTCTTCTTCTTCTTCTTTAGCGTACTTAGTTGTCTCGTATATCCATTAAATAAACTAAAATGAAAAAGAAAGTTATTTCAAAAACTTTAAGCATGATTTAGCGCTAATTAGTTTTGGTACTCTCTCTCTCTCTCTCTCTCTCTCTCTCTCTCTCTCTCTCTCTCTCTCTCTCACGATCCAAAGAAGAGAAAAATATCCTAAATATAATTCTTAGGTTCCTTTAGTGTAGTATAGATATTAGTCTCTCTCTCTCTCTCTCTCTCTCTCTCTCTCTCTCATTATACCTTATAAGTTTGACCTTGGACTTGACTTTGGACGCCGTGAAAGGGGGGGGGGGGAGGCAAGCAAGGGCATTGAGGAGGACTTGTTTTGTGAGAGAATCAAGAGACTCAGAGGATTCCTTTATCGTGCTACACTTGCTTGAGGTTGTCCTTAATATATATCTCCACAGGGTACCTCGTGGTGTAGTGGCTAAAACACTCGGCTCACTACCAAGAGAGCTCGGGTTCGAATCCTGAGCGGGGAAGAAGCACTTGGGCACGTGTCTGTGAACCCAATTGCTTCTGTTCACCTAGCAGTATAATTAAGTACATGGCGTTCAGTCAGTTGTTGTGGGTCGGTGTTCAGGGATGGTACTGCTTCAAGGCTGACCTAAAACGCCCAAAAACTCTGAGAAAATATTCCAAAGCCAGGAACAAATATTATATTAACATATATCTCTACAATTATTAAGTGATCTAAACACTTCACGTTAAAGTCTGTTCGAAGTCTATGTTCGTTTGTCATTATGTGTATGTTAGTTTGTCCATTTTCTTTGTTTGCATGTTTGCTTCTACAAGGGTTTTTATTCTGTGTTTGCTTGCCTTTATTTTTTGTTTGTCATTTTGGTGTTTGTTTTTAATAGTCATTTGTGTGTCTATAATCACTGTTTCTTTTTGGTGTGTATTTCTCCTTGTTTGTTTGTTTGAGTTTTATGTTTTTATTCTAGTGTATTTTTGTGTTTATTTGTGTCTTTCTCTTAGGATGTTTGTTTTTAGGTCCTCGTTTGGGATATTATCATCACCACACGTTCTCATCTATTTTATTCCAGTCGCGCAGTTCCATTTTTACGATTTTTTTTTTTCATAAACATAACTTTTTACTAGTCTTGCAATTCTCTTTTTACATTCTTTTTTCATCGTCATCACTTTTTTATAGTCTCACACTTCCATTTTTGTGTTTTTCTTTCTCTTTTCTTCATATTGGCGTCATGTTTTCGCCTCTGGTATGGTTCAACGTAGTCAAGATGAGCCAATTATCATTGTCATTATGGATGAATTTGGTTCTCATATCCTCTCCACCATTCTTTGCCAGTCTTTTCATTGTCCTTGATATGATTTGTAGTCTTAAATTCTAAAGAAAAGGAGGAGGAGGAGTAGTAGGAGGAGGAGGAGAAGAAGGAGGAGGAGGAGAAGAAGGAGGAGGAGACGACAAACCTATTTCTTATAATACAGTGCCAGTCAAAAGTAGTAAAAGAAGAAGAAGAAGAAGAAGAAGAAGAAGTAAACAAACATATTTATTATAATACAGTGCCAGTCAAAATTAGTAAAAGAAGAAGAAGAAGAAGAAGAAGAAGTAAACAAACATAATTATTATAATACAGTGCCAATAAATATTAGTGGAAAAAAAGTAGTAGTAGTAGTAGTAGTAGAAGAAGAAGAAGAAGAAGAAGAAGAACAACAACAACAACAACAACAACAACAACAACAACAACAATATATTTCAAGTCATACTTTGCCAGACAAAAGTAATTAATTGTTTAATAAGAAATACACCTCACTGTATTCATATTGAATAAGATAAAACGTTATTGTAGTTAAAATAGAGATTATTAAAGCAACAGTATTTTTTATTCTGTCTTTCTATGCCACTCTTAATCATCATTCATATAGGAGTGAATATAGACAGGTTGGAGCTGAGGAACTAAGGTTTAATTTTTCGTTATTATTTTACCGCTTTATAATAATAATAGTAATAATAATAATAATAATAATAATAATAATAATAATAATAATAAGCAAATTCCAAATACTTATTCCTACGTTATTTATTTGTGGTTTTATGTTTTTTGAAATAATGATAATGAAATTGTACTAATATTTAATGTTATTTATTGCCTCTCACGTTTAGCTTTGCGTAGAGAGAGAGAGAGAGAGAGAGAGAGGGAGAGAGAGAGAGAGAGAGAGAGAGAGGTATTATGGAGAATAATATACAAATAACACCACGAAAAAACATGCGAACACTAAACAGACCTGAAACACTAGGAATGCTAAGATACTTAGAAAAAAGTTTGTTGTGAAAACCGACAAATTCGCGATCAGTAACATTCAGACGTGTGCTAGACGCGACTGGTTATTACCAGAGAACCTGTCTTCTTCGATTGATATGAGTAATCAATCTCATTCTTGTTTTTTTTCTATTTCACACACTGTTAATCTAGAAACGAATCCAGCCGTTAAAGAGGGACTAACAGATATTTTTTTTTATATCTATATCAAGTTTCAGAATACCTTTGTAAATTCTCTCCTTCATATAACTTTTATGCCATTACTTAAATATGTTTACGCCACGATAACATTTAAATAGGCAAAAATTTCGCTCTACGAATTCAGAATATTAGTTTGAACTATATAAGTACTATCTTACGTCCTAACTTGTCATAAGAATAATTTTATGCTTGTGAATGCATTTTTTTTTAAATATGAGTTCCAAAGGCTTTGCATCTTCAAAGTTAGGTCACAAAAAGTCATGTTAATTCTACTAAACATTTCTGTATCAATATTTTGACCCCCTAAAATTCATTCACTGATTTCGTTTAAGTTCTTCTGCTCACGAATACCTAGAGATGATCTTGCCCTCTTGCCCATGCTACTGTCTTCTTCTGCTCACGAATACCTTAAGATGATCTTGCCCTCTTGCCCATCCTCGTTACTGCATATTTCGATGTATTCAATCACAGTAACCACTTAGCTGACCATTCCTATAGACCCGTGGATCCCAAAGTAGGGCGCACGCCCCACAGGGGGCAATTTGATTTTTAAGGGGCAATTCGTGAATGTGTTATTAACAGTGATTTTTTTTTCCAGTGAGTCTGTGTAAGTGTGTGTGGTATTAATACATACGGTGCATATACAGTATGCATACATAAATTTACTTGTGTGTATCTATGTACATGTGTCATTGGTCCACAAGGTACTTTCTGCCTCCCCACATTCACGTGTATATGTCAGGGGGGGATCAGGATTTTAGAGATGCATAGGTGGGCCACAGGCAAAAAGAGGTTGGGAACCACAGCTAATGACTGTTAAAAGTCTTCCTACATTTCCTTACCACTATTTATAGCTCTCACTCTCTTTGTAGTGATCACATCTTTAGCATTTTCCTGTTTAAATATAGAAATATCCCAACAACTTATTGTCGCATGACATCAATCGTGCTGAAGCCAGAATCTGAAACTTGTAACAAATCTTGAGGGGTAACGGTCGGTCGAGGGCACAGATATTTTATTACATGTCCTCACTTTTATTGAGTTTTGGGTGCAGACCATGTTTTCCCTTGGGACCACCAAGATTTATGGCTAGGCACCTGGAACTAACCCCCGGCGCCATGCACCCCCAAGAGGCCTAAAGGATAAGGGACCCTCGGTCCCTTATCCTTTAGGCCTCTTAGGGGTGCATGGCGCCGGGGGTTAGTTCCAGGTGCCTAGCCATAAATCTTGGTGGTCCCAAGGGAAAACATGGTCTGCACCCAAAACTCAATAAAAGTGAGGACATGTAATAAAATATCTGTGCCCTCGACCGACCGTTACCCCTCAAGATTTGTTACAAGTTTCAGATTCTGGCTTCAGCACGATTGATGTCATGCGACATTATCCCTGTGGAATCCCTTTTCTAGCGTTCCTCTAGTCTAAGTAAGATGTATCCACGGCAAGACATTTCCAACACTTTTTGCCATTGCATGCAATTACCTCATATTTCATCAATCACATTCTGAAAATCTAGGAATATGCAATCTGTACAACCAATTTCCCTGGTAATATGTGGCTTATTTCATCATAAACAGCAAGTTTGTTATTGTAGTCCTGACCTCTCCGTGGCCATGTTGTCTCACTGCCAAATATGTAAATTACTTTGAATAAATGGAGTTATACCTTTCCAATATTTTCTCCATAACTTTGCGAATCATACTAGTAAGTAAAACTGGAATATCTCCAGATTCCAACAACTTTCTTCTTATTCTGTCTATCTGTATATTGCGTTATTAAGTATCCAGCCATAACATAGGATGACTTTCGGTCATTATATGTACTCCTAAATAATTATATGTAGAATATTCGCAGTCGTAACTCACTCCTCGAACTCGGACCTACAGTACATATTTAAGAAAAGTCCATAATCCTAGTCTAGTTGGGATGGACGCAGACAGGTTGGAAGTTGGGGATTAAGGCTGGATACCCCTCCTAACGCCCCGAGGTAAACTCGAACACGGATTTGGCTCTTTCCGAATCTATTTTCATTTTATATGAGAAAAAGTAGGATATAAAAAACTTCGAAAGTTACATTTAGAATGGAGAGATTCAGCGCAACAAATAAATGTTTAAGTATTGTTATTACTTTTGATAAGAGATACTTGCTTATGTGTATGATATATAGTGCCAATTGGCACTCTTGTTATCTCTATTAAATTGAGATTAAATGCAGTTTCTGTCATTATTTTATAGATAATACTTATCAATAGACTCGTCTTTCTCCAGACTGCTTAGACTAAGACTCGTATTCAAATGTTTTTTTTTACTTATCTATCTATCTATCTATCTATCTATCTATCTATCTATCTATCTATCTATCTATATATATATATATATATATATATATATATATATATATATATATATATATATATATATATAAGCACATACAAGTATATATCTTCTAAATAAGAACGAAATACTAATATGCGAGCCACATACAAAAATATAAAGGCAATGTACTTTAAGCCTCTATTATTTTTTTTTGTAAACAAATAATAGAATAATGAGGATTATTTATTTGGTGGAAAGCTGTAGGACATGCATTATTCCCTTTATCAGAGCCGGTGCTTTTGAAGGTACTGTTCCACTGGGAGGTCTACATATCTAAAGAGCTGGAAAGGGTAATCTTTCTGTCCTGTTCATCCCAGAAGGTTCTAGTGAAAAGATGCTCTTGAAGAAGCGATTTTTAAGAGGAATTCTAAGAGTCAGATTACCAAGAGAACCGAACTCATGAAGAATTGGAACCTGAAATTTTTATAGGTCCTGACTACTCAGTTGGAGTAAAGTTGAGGTCGGTAATCTTCAGTTGGTCGCTATTGATGAGGACCAACCTCAGATTCTAACCTAACTTAACCATTGATAAAAGTCAGGTAAAAATTTTTCACGAGGTCATGAATAAAATTGTGATGTAATATAAGGTCTACCACAATACCTGTATTCTATTGTACCCTAACCTGA